TTGTCAAGATGGCAAGGCGTCAAATTATTTTCTTTTTTGCTTTAACTGCCAGACACAGATTTTTCTCTCTTTAGTTTGTAATCTAACTCAAGTAAAAGAGAAAACATTATGAATAAGATGAGAACCAGCAGCACTGCTTAGTTAAGAAAAAAGATTTAGAATACTTCTTCTCATCTTTTCTTTGCACGAGATGCTTTCTTTATTCGACTAGTCTATGTGCGCATTATTCTGTAAGAGAAACATACTTTGACGATTGCCTTCTTCAGATTTGTTTCTAACAAGAAAAGACTTCAGCATCTACATTACTCGAATAGAATATGATGCACTATCGAGTTGTTTTGATCAGAAAAGAGAATGTACCCAACACAGTTATACACTGTGATTAAAGCGCATTATTAACATGTTCAGATGTTTGGCACGATGTGTAACAAAATCAAAAAGAATATTCCAAAACAGAGATTATTGCTGTCATGTCGAACTTCTTTTCCATAGTTTTGACTTTTCATATTTGGTTGTGTCTTCGATGGAGACTACTTGTAGAAGAGGGAAGATCTTCGTTTTTCGCTCTGCACTTTAGTGTTGATTAACGACCATGTTTTATACATAGGACAATGTGTAACAGAATCTTCAGCAGACAGTGCTCAACTTGGTACATGTCAACATTACCTTTATTTAGCCTTATTTGAATGAACGTATTTCCAATTTGACATAAAACTATCGACTTAACATCACTCCTGTCATTTCTACTCTATGCTAATCATCATACTTCAATGCATAAACCATAATAAATCCAGCAGAGTCAAACTTGGAAAATTAAATTCACTTATTGAAGTACTGTTCGAGTATTCAAATATTTAATTACTCGATATTACTAGTCTTGCGTATTTTAAGATTTCCTATTGCCCTCAGCAAAACGGATACCATGTGTGTGTAATCTTCTGAAATATTTCAGTACTTGAATGTTAGATATTCAATAAACCAATTCAACTTTCAAATGTGACAACACTTGCTTAATCTTAACTAACGGGGTTGGAAATATCCATACATGCGTAAACAGTGCATTCAACAACGACAACTTGTTCAGAAGAGACAATCGAGAATTTCACGCTTGATACTTGTTCGTGTGAGGCATTTTCTGCTTTGTTTTTAATATGCGAGTCTTTTTTGTCAGCAGAACTCAAGGGCTGGACAGAATGAAGAGAACCATATTTATCTAGAATTACGTAGCTAAGTCTTGATAATAGTCATGATCTTCCGATCAGTCAGTTAATTCTTCTCTCGTGAATGTCTTAATTGTTAACAAAGGAGACAATCTTAATGAGTTGTTTAATTCGAATGATAACATCGTAGAAGGCGTGAGGGCCGATGTATGGAATTGGAGAACGAACGAAAAAAACTCACGTTAACTTCTTACTGTGGACGTATGAAACAGGGAAAGATATAGATATAGCTATAATGATTTATAAATAAAATTATAAGTAACATACTAATATTATATAGACTCAGAATAAAGAGGAAAAAAGTTTTATTCATTCATAATTAAAATTCAATAAAAATTTACTTTTTTTCTTCGTTATTTGAGAAATCTCGAAAATTTGAATTGTTTTGGAACTAGAATCAGACATGTATTCTTGTTTCTCACTTGATTTTCGGGACTCAATCTGATAGATAACGTATGCACATGTTTGTCAATCAACTGTAAGATGTGCAAACCTTCAATGAATAGGATTAGTTTAAAAAATACATATTCAGACTATCCAAAATTTGAAGCATGATATTTGATGATGAGATGACAGCGCCTGATGGTGAGATGAAAGAAAAGATCTTTATTCTTGTTCTTACTAATATCCACCTCACCTTCAACTAATCCTAGTGAAAACTTTTAGTAATTAAAGTCGATTAAAATTTCAAAATCGTACAGGTATAGCCGACATTGGTGAGTTGATTATCGTGCAAAAGTATCAAAATTATAATCAATATTAACCGAGTAGAAGATTTGTAATCGATTACAATTTGGATTTTGTTTCACAGTAATCATTAGTAAAACTTCTCATATAATTGACTTCAGCTCCATGCTAATCGATTTTGTATACAGTTGTACTAATTTGTAAATGATAAGCTGGAAGAAAATTAAAATAGAGACCTTTTCCATTAAAAAAAAGGCGGAAAAATGGAATAAAACTAGTTTTTTTCTTATTTTGTTACACGGAAATTATCTGTTCTAATTCCATTCTTACATATTAATCATTTTCAATCTTTCATTACTGATTAATCAATTTTAATCCATTATCACTTGTTAATTGCTTTTAATTATACATCCCCAAGATAAGCAGTTTTTTCGAGCTTCGAACGGGATATCTCAATGTTGCTTTTTTTGAATAGTTCATCTTTAGAACCTAAGAAGTTTCCATCAAGCTAAAATCTGGCAAATAAAGTCAAGTTAGAACTAGCATATAAAGTGCTTCAAATGGAGATGGTCTAATTACATTAAAAACAAGATTAAAATCGATTAATTTCGTAAAATATAGTTTAATTCCGTAGTTTAATGTAAGTATGATTAGAATTGATTATTCCCTATTTGGATCATGTATAGCCTATCGTTATTGTTCGGAAGACTTGCTCTCATTAATGAATAATATAAACTATCAATAGAGAGGAAACACACGGTTTACACTTGCTTTCATTATGACGTATATTAAAAATTGATATGGCCGTTTGACTTGTCGATCTAAGTACCAGATATTCACTATAAGAGTCGATCGAGTCCATCCCTGAACCGATCTTGCACTCAACCGGCTCGGATCTGAAAACTTACTGTTGTTCAGGCTCGGCTTTAGGTCCGGAGCGGTATCAGTGTGAGTAAAGGTATTCTGTATTTAATTCACGCGTACCCGACATCAACACTCCCACACAACTTTTGTATTTGCCCAGTTAATTTGCTTCTGTGTACATCTTATTAATATTTACCAAACCCTTTACATTTAGATTGACAAGATTAAAATCAATTTTTAATGAAAGTCAGATTATTAGTGGAATAATCAGTAATAATCGATAGAATAGACTTTTTTGAATCGATTTAGACTTTAATCAAGTGTATGCGATGAATACCTAAGCAATGAAAACTACTCAGTCAATAACTGCCTAGCGTAAGTTTTCAAACTCTGTGAGCAGAGAAATGATAGATGAGTCTTTTTGTAGTTTTAGTTTTTCATTATGAAAACATAAAATCACAAAAACAGGTTACCAACGAATGTTTTGCAGAAAGTAAGACAGAACGATTTCAAAATCTGGTTTAGCCTACAGGTCTGAACTCATATTATTTCTCTCTGTCTACAAAACTCCACTATTCACTACATAAAATTGGATTCAACGACAACAATACTCTTTTACATGTGTTTGGACGGACTATTCTTAATGACCTCAGAGAAAATGACCTATAAAACTAATTTCATGACGTATTTTAATTGAATGCACAAATGTATGCATATTGAGGGTGGCACTTTAGCAAACAACACGAGAACAAGCTTCTGAATAGTTGTAGAAAAGGCTATAGAAAAAAAGCTTTCCTTCTACTTCTTGTATTAATTCTCACGATAACTGACGCACTAGAAACGATAACTTACTGTATTCTCCCAATTAAAAGTAATGAGCAACAAATCGTTGCGTGTCGCATAAGTTCTTATGCATTTTTTCATTAAAATGTTGAAATAGTCAGTAAATTTCGTGTCGATATCAACTAATACGTGCATGCTTCGAGAGGTGGGATATTTTTCTTCAAACAAAGAAGGAGGAAAACTTGATTGTTATTTCCTCTGCACAGAATACGAGGCAGTCATTTTTTATTTTTTCCATACTGGCGAAGCGTCTGTCTAAAAAACTAGTAACAGAGGTGAGTACTTGAGAACAAAAAATAAGGTCTTTTTCTTTAAATTTTAAATAGTTCGTTCATTCTATATTTTCTCTCAACATTTTGAATCAGTTGATAGACATCTGGTTGGAGATAGTCTTAATAACTTTCCTATCGGCCAAGTTGTATAGGGATAAGTTTCTCATCAAGGATAGAGTATGGAGAAAATTGAGATATTAATCATTAATAAGTTTCTGTTTTCCTCGCATGAATGACGTGCCGCATCAAAATTCAGCGTTGTGATGGTGAAAATTTTTCTACTCTGAAAATGTTCAACGATTCCTACTCGATAACATGAATATCAGAATCCTTTTAGTTGACCTTTGCGAAACTGACTAATAAAAAGCGATCATAAACTGTTACAGTCATGAACTTGTTCTTTCATATACTTGCATTTTTATGACACCAGTTATAATAAATATAGTTGTGCTTTCTATAGCTCTACTGAATAGAAACAGATGAACATGAGAAAATGTATTATCTATCAGTTTGATATAAAACATTTCATTTTCGTACGACTTTGGCCTTATTGCATTCACACTGCCTATGAGCTCTTCGTTTTCTTGTTCATGAGCATCGTCGACCATAGTTCATTCCTTTGACTCACTTCGAAAACAAGGACCAATCAGAAACATTATGTCCTATCGAAAGTATACTGACACATATTGTATAACTTGATATATCTGATACATCAATCTATTGATGTCAATTAGTAAATGCTAAATATCAACGATGCCCGCCAAATTAAAAAGAAAACCACTCTGCTCATCAAAAACAAAATGTGCTTGCGTATTTATCATCTATTGTCAAATATAAAAGTGGATGAGATGATGAAGATGTGAGAGTAAGGAGCCATTGCTGAGAAAGCAGGTGTTGGTGAGATCTTCTTTTCAACTAAGCCGACATCTTCATTCTCGTCCCTGTCTGTTGCACAGATGTATCTTTTGATACACACGGGAATACAACGAATTTCAACAAAGAAAGTTAAAATTTTCATCAGATCTATAAAATATTTACATTTTGAGTATGAAATCATTATAGTCAAACTATACTAATTATCTTTTTCGTATATTAACAGAATACGTACCAAGGTATGGAACGTAGATCTTTTTCGGACGCTGGCAGAATCAGTGTAACAGTTGAAATATCATCCAATGATGGTCAAAATGAAATCACTCTGGCGAATATTCCATTGTGTATGACAATTGGCGACTTGAAACAGAAACTACATGTGGCACCGAATTCACATTTAGGACGTCCAAAAGAATTCGAAAACTGGGGTAATCAGCGTCAACTTTCAGATTATTTTGTCAGGGATCATGAACAATTGGTTTGTGTTTTGCAATCTACAAAGGAAGACGTCCAAAGTTCATGCGATGATTATGATCAATGGTTAGCAAAACGTACTGATGGCGGAACTAAATAAGGACGGCGTTCAATAACACATTTTTTCAATTAAGAGACATTTGTTCATTGAAGCTTTAATATGACATTTTCTCTTATAATCTTCAATATTACTCAATAAAAGTCATTTGTAGTCGTGAATAAAAAGAAAGAGATCAGCAAAGTAGCAAAATATGAATAATTATTCACTCTATTTAACAATGAGAGTTCGCGTCGAAGACCGAACCGATCGAGACTGTCAGTATGCTTGTGGGGGTGTGGACGAGTGTAAGATGAGGTGTAGATTTGTGCGAACAGCAAATCTCAAACACATACACTCATAATCACTCATACACACACAGCCGTATACCATCATGATTGATGAAAACGTTTGTTTGATAGGATAGATCGAGAAGCCAATTCCGATTAATTCGTGTCCAATTTTGCGGAGCATTTTTTTTATCAGGCAGTTGATTTCAAATGCATTCTCTATTCCATTGTTTTAAGGTATTTAATTCATTTGTGTGGTTCTCTATTCAGTATCGATACTTTTGAAAGATCTATGATCAATGAATCGTAAGTGTAAGTGTTTGAATGTATGAATCTGAAGACTTGATTGATGTCGATAGAATCATCACAAAAAACCATTTTCATGATGATCAACTTCTCCTGGCATATCGAGAGCCGTAAGAGCAAGCGACCTATGCTGTGACTAATTCAATAAGAACACTCGTCATTTCATTCGAGAAAGTCAATCTGTTTTTGTCAGGCGACTTTTTTCATTCGAGAGAAAAATTCGGTTTTCTCTCATTAATGAAAAAAAAATCTTGTCAGTGTGGTTGCATAAGGGGTCAATGTGTAGAACTCATAAACTCTGCCTGTTATTAATTTATGGTATATCGTCACACTTTTTAAATAATTTATTTAGGGTGTGGGTATTTCCACCGACACCCACACCCTTCACAAAAGCATCATCAAGAAATGTTCTAATGTGTCACAACCAGTCTGGATTTTCTGATTGAGCATAATATAACAGAATTCACAAGAAAAAGCGGATACCCTAGATATAAGCAAAACTATTGTATTCCAAATGTCATCAGAAATATAAAGCGTTTGTCATCATTGAAAAGGTTTGTTAATAAGAGATTACTTAGACTGTCAGTAGATGGGGGCGTCTGTTTCACTTTCTCGTTGCCTCTTCCTACTCACGGAGATGGTTATGTGCTGGTAGAAAATATACTCGTGTATATTTCGGATGGTGATATTACAAAAATAAAATTCTACGTTAGCAAAAGGGTTCACGCAAATGCACGGTTTAGCCACTGAACTATAAGAAGTGAATGGCGAGCGATTCTGCAAGAAGCTAGGAGGTTTTTAGGTGTAAAGAAGTTCGTGTTAGGCAGCTGGACGTATCGGTAATGAATGATAAAAATAATAATGATAAATATAAAATAAGACAACATATAAGGGGAAAGACAAAGCAGGATCATTCAAGAATGCACGTCGATAGTTAAGCTATATTTTCATGGCCTGCGAATTTCACTGTATAACGGTAAACCGAATGGTTTGGGCGGATAGTGAATAGTAAGTGATTTCATTCATGTTTTGAATTTAACTCGTTCTAAGCTCATAGTATGGTCGTATCAGGCGAACATTGCAGTTTTTGATTCTTGAATGTAGAATCAAGCTTTTGTGGTTCGAACAATGCTGCGTATTTATTAAGTTTCGTTAACGATCGCTAAAATTATGTATTTTGAGAACATGAATAATCTCAGTAATTCGCGACTAACCATATTCTTGCAAAAGAAAATCAATTTCGAGGAAAATATTTCATCATTGAAAAATATATGAAATTGACGAGCATTGATATATTGAAACTACAGCGCATAATAGCACATTTTTTTTCGTTCTGCTCTGCCTTGTGTTACTCTACAAAGAAACAGAGCAGAGCTTAATAAAAAGCTTTTTGCATTGTTCTACACGAAAGAACTTGCTGCTCCATAAGACAAATATGACACAGGTTCATCGATTCATGACAAGTTGAAAAGTTGATGAGAAAACTCTGTTGTATATTTTCGGTGGAATATAACTGTAATCGGTGTTCAAGTATAAAACAAAATTACTATTAACAGCTTATCTCTCATAAATGATAGCAATTATAATGGAAAGCTTTTTTAGAATTTCATGCCACATGACAAACATCTCCAAAAGATTTTCGCAGGATTGTAGTCGAAAAATAATGCTTATCCGTCATTTATGAAGTGATTTTATCATATTTTTCATTTCAGTCCTGTGTGAATAAGTAATAAATAGTCTAAGCACCAAACGATTGTTCCGCATTTTTATTGAAACTGTAACGGTTTTTCATCACCAAAGAGTGCTCATGCACCAACTGACTGAACAGCAGGATAAAAAAACAAATTTAATGGAGAAGCGGTGAGTGTAATTAAAATATCTGTTTAATTCTCGACGACTGCTATCAATAAAATGTTACTCAATCAAGATTTCGTAAAACATTTCAGCAGAGCAATATATTTTGCTTTACTCTTTCTTGCCTTGCAGGAAGGCAAAAAAGCATCCCTGTTCTGATACTGTGTCGGATTAAAATCGATCATTGGTATTTCGCTTTTTCGACAAATGATCATTTATTTTGCATACCGTATTGACTTTCCATATCCTGAGGTATTGATCAATTCTAAATTTTGACAACATACGACCAAATTGTCTATCAATAAAGTCAACGGAATATTCATTTAACAGGAATATTTTTCTAATAGTTTTGATTTTCGTTCAAATATGCTAGCAAGGTCGAAGAATATCGGATATCTAGAACCCATATCCCGAAGAAATATTCGATTTGTACACATTTTTATACATATAGACCGTTTATTGTTCGAAATCTAGCTCAGAATATTTACGTAAAAAGACTGTATCTTCTGAATACAGCACATTTTCATTCTTAATGTTCCACGCTTATCTTCTTCAGAACTTTGTGTATGTAGGTGTGAGTTTATGTGCGTGTGTATGGGTGTGGATATGAATGAAAAAAATATCCATACCCTCTTGGAAATAATCTGTGAAAGGCGTTTCTTGTGAATACTAAAGTGTGGAAACGTTGATAACTTACGCTACATCGCTGGTTTTTTATTGATGATTAGAAATAGCATACAAAACTGGCTACGTTGCAGACGTATTTGAATAGTAGCTTGAATGTTATTTGATGAATTTCTGCAACACCCCAGAGTAAATCTGTTGAACTCACTGGTGAAGTCAAACTGTTAATATTCAACTAGTACAAGAAAATGCGTCGAACATAACTGATTATTCGATGAAGATCGAATTACTCGGAATAGATACAGATCATCTCTTCACATTATATGCGGTTGTCATACATCCATTTAAGGAACTTTTTACAAGTTAAATAAAACTATTTTGAAAAATATTTACATCTCTACTATTGATTATTGTACAGTACATCTACTATTTTATCAATACAACTGTATTGATTCGAGTATAAATTACATACTTGTTGAGAGTTGATTGCCTGTCAAGCAAAATCAATGCCCTGAAAAACTTCTTTACTGACCATAGAGTAATAAATACTGCAATAAGTAGCTGTTCTATTACACTCCCATGCTTTCGTCTTTCTGGCATGCAAGTATTCTATTTGGAGTGATTAGAGGACGTCGGTTTCTTCTTTTTCTTCACCTACCGTCATACATGCTTAAATCTCCTTTTGAACTTTTTGCTTCTTTACAAAATAGTGCTTGTACAATACATTGTTTCCATTCTATAGAGCTGGAACTCATATGCGACTATATATTGACATCAACTTATTAATCTTTAAGGTTGCTCTGTCAGATTTAGTTTTTCACTTCTCTACTATTTAAAAATACCTCAATGCATGCTCCGCTGGACTCGATCATATATACATGCAGTGAAAAAACTGGTAGAAAAGTACTTTTTGCGATCTTTGATCTGTGGGGTAACTTAAAACTATGATAAAATACGGTAAATAGAAAAAAAATTAGAATGAGTTATAAGATAGCTTTGTGTCATTTATAACACAAAAAGACAACTCTTTTAAATGTATATATGAATGAATGCTTCGATCGCTCTTTTGTGGATTGGACACAGTCGGAATAAATGACCACATGAAATACAAGTTACCAAATGGCCACATGGGATGCAAGCTAGACGTTTCTCTTCACTACAACACAGAACGCAGAGATTCTTTTCTAATGAGTGAGGCATTGGCATCGGTTTCATAACGCTGTTTGTTGGATTGGTGTTCGCTGCCTTGCTAGCCTCATGTTCTACTAACGCTGATGCTTGCAATTCCAACTCAGATTTGGCAGAGAAAGCTGGTTGATTAATATCGACATTCAACTCATCGAATGAGCTGTTTAAATTATTTGAAGTAGCTTCCCCTAGAAAACCGTTCAAGTTTCATTGATGGCACTATTGACAACTTAATTCTCTCTCCACATACCAGCTTGTTTTTCACGAATCTTTTGTATTTGAATACTGGGAACAATGATATTTTCCCTTTTGCCATTGATGCGTTCTATTTGCTTTTGAAGAATTCTGTAAGCTATTAATAAGTCACAGTCAGTCTTGAAATCTTCTTCTTAAAAAAAGCAGGCCATTAAAAACTGATATTTTTCTCGCTAAGAAAGAAAGAGTGATCTTAGTCCCACTTTTCGCCCCAAAAAATATTTTCAAGCAATAACCTATGAAAATCATAAACTCGACATACACTGGAAAAGTTGAACAGTTGTTTTTCTTGAAATGACTTTCAGGTTTTTGACCTTCCTACCTCCATGTGATTTGAAAAACAATTTTTTTCAAATTAAGTCTTTAAAATTAGCTAGAGATATTAAGTCTGCCATGCTGCACTGTTGGACTTAAAATTAGGGTACTTATAGCTCGAGTTATAACTTTTGAGTTATAACTGATCAACTTTTTGAAAAATAGTTTTAACTCCAACAGTGCCATGCTGACAACAAATATCACTATTGCAAGTCTCAGAAATGTAGTGTT